GGCGGGGGCGCTGCAGGCCTCGGAGCCCCGGCCCAGCTCCGCCCGTCGGCACGGCGGTGCGGGGACGCGCGGTCACCTCCGCTGACAGTTGACCAGAGCCACCTGGGCTTTGACCCGGCCGGCGAAGGGCACCCCGAGATTCACCTTGAGCGGGTGTAGTCACCTGCAGCAGTTCCTTGCCCCAGCCCGGGGCGCGAGATCGGGGCCGGGACTCACCGAACCCGGTCCGGGAAAGGAGGGTTAGCTTTGGAAAGCCTGTCCTCCAGCCGCTGCCACCCCAGGCTCCAGTCCTGGGGCTCAAGCTGGGGTGGGGTGCAAGCTGCGGGTCTCCTATAGTCTAAGTAGCGAACAGACACGTCCACTCCGTTGAACCGCAGGTCACAGAGGTTACACAGGTTCCAGCTGGGTGCCCAGGGTGCTCAGGGACGCGGGAAGTGGGAGAGATTAGATATGCTTGGAAATGATTGCAGTTCGGAGTCTCCCTCGGATTATTACCACCTACCACCGAATGAAAAACTGGCAGATTTAGAATGCCCCAGGGTTCTTCGCCTGGCAGTATTCTTTGAAACTATTTTATAGACTACCAGCTCAGATCAGAGGTCATACGTACTCTGATTGGATGGGTCTGATGATCAGATTCCCAACTTAGTTCACTCGATAACAGTTTTATTTGAAAATGTAAATTACTTCCTTAACCTGTTTATTTAAACAAATTGTGTATTCAAATGCCCGTGAGGAAAAAAAAATGATAGGAACTTGCTCTCCCTCCCTTCCCAGTGCTTGGATTTTCAAGAAAGTTTTAGTGTGTCAGAAACTGAAATGTTCAATTAGGGTTCTCTCTTGCAAACAACTACAGAATGATAGGTTTAATCAGTAAAGATATGGACTATTTAACCTTGTTAGTTGTCTAATTTATCACCAATTTTCCAAAAGAATTTATTCGTTCCCCCCCTTATCTTCTGGTTCTTATCTGTTTCAGATTGATGTGCAGCTGTATATTTTGTCATTTCTTTCACCCCATGATCTATGTCAGTTGGGGAGTACAAGTCATTATTGGAATGAAATTGTACGAGATCCAATTCTGTGGAGATATTTTCTGTTGCGGGATCTTCCTTCTTGGTCCTCTGTGGACTGGAAGTCTCTCCCAGATCTAGAAATCTTGAAAAAGCCCATATCTGAGGTTGCTGATGGTACACTTTTTGATTACATGGCAGTGTAAGTATCTGGTTTTAGAAATTAAGAAAAGATACTAAATTGTATTCTATTTTTAGTTCAGATTAGTCTTGGCCCTGCTACTAATTTGTTTCATGGATATTGAATCTAAGCATCCTCATGTTAAAATTGTAGGTGGAGTTAATTAATTTCCTCCTAAGAACCTTTCAGCTGAAACATGATGCCTAACTAATAATTGCATAATTGTATGTGATACATGGTAAGAAATAAAAAAAAAACCTTTTCAAGATTCTCACTTGGCATTTTGCAAAATAGTAGATATTTTCCCTGTTCAGAAAAGGAATAACCAAAGATGAGAAAGCCATTCTTTGGCAGGAAGAAATGCCTATGGGAAACAAGAATTTATTATCATTCAAAAGTATTGACATAATTTAGGACAAAACATCATATAGGATTCCCCACTCCCCAGGCTTTTAAGTTAGTCAGAGTCTTCTTCTTTTTTTTGGTTGGTTATGGGGCTTGAACTCTGGGCCTGGGAGCTATCCCTCAGCTCTTCAGCTCAAGGCCAGTGCTCTACCACTTGAGCTACAGCACCACTTCCAGTTTTCTAGTGGTTAATTGGAGGTAAGAGTCTCAGAGCTGGCTTTGAACCGGGATCCTCAGATCTTAGCCTCTTGAATAGCTAGGATTACAGGTGTGAGCCACCAGTGCCTGGCCTGTACTTTCTTTCATTGTAGAGATTTTCATCTTGAAACTGTTGAATTGTTTTGGACCAGTTGTTTTGGAAGGTTGCTCTTTGCTTTTTACAAAGGCTGCTCTTCGTAGAATGTTTAGCAGCATCTCCAACCTCTACTTGCCAGTTGTGTTCAGATATTGCCACATATTCTGGGAAGAGAGAACAATACTTTCTCAGGTTGAGAACAGTTACCCTATATAGTGAGATTTGACCATTAGACTGTATTACATGGAGTGTTTCATGAGAAAATTTCCATGATGATCAGAAAGCCAGTAACCATTTCCTAGGGGCACCCTTCAGGTTCTGGGTCATTCCCATTTTGTAGTACCCTGTGGATTTCCTTGTTATTCTACTCCACATTTACTTTAGAATGGTGTTTCACTGTCATCCTTGAGGTTTGAGATGGTGTAATCCTGACATTATAGTGTCTAGCAGCTACTCTAAGTCATATACCCACTGAATGAACAACTAGTTCACTGTTTCCTTTGTTGATTTCTAATTGTGACAATTTTATACAGTTATAAAATGTGCTGCCCGTATACAAGAAGAGCCTCCAAATCCAGCCGTCCTATGTATGGAGCTGTCACCTCTTTTTTACACTCATTGATCATTCAGAATGAACCTCGATTTGCTATGTTTGGACCAGGTTTAGAAGAACTGAATACATCCTTGGTGTTGAGTTTAATGTCTTCAGAGGAACTCTCTCCAACTGTTGGCTCGCCTCAAAGGCAGATTGATGGTAATTTCCATGTTAATCTACTGTACATAGTAATCCAAACACTATGAGTTAAACAACATTAGAGTTGAAGAAAAGAAACTCATTTTGGATTAATTACTTCTGGAAATGGAGTCATTTGATGGAGTCATTCAGTAGGACCTAGAGGTCCTACTGAACTGAAAGAACTTAGTTACTACAAAAATTTGGTTTTTTCTTAATTCTTCAAATGTATCTAGAATTTAATATTTGAAAGTAAATTTGGTACAATCATCAGGAGGTTGTATTGGACAGTCCATATCATGTTTATCATGTTTCAAGACAAGTTTGTTAGCACAAACCATTTAGGATCTATTTATAAAGTCTTTTTGATGCATGTTGGGACTTTTTTTTTCAAGCAGCTGTTGTGCCCTGCGCTCAGCCTCCTCCCACAGCTGCACCACCGCAGCTGCTAGTCATGGGGCTAAACTCTGGGCTTGGGCGCTGTCCCTCAGCTCTTCAGCTCAAGGCTAGCACTCTACCACTTGTTTTCTGCTTATGTGGTGCTGAGGAATCGAACCCAGGATCTCAGACATGCAAGACAAGCGCTCTACCACTGAGCCACCTTCCCAGCCCAGGATTTTTTTTTAAGGCACCCTATCACCATAAACCAAAGGAACTAAATTATCACTTTGATTCCCAACAACATTGGCTACACCAAAAATAGCATGTAATTATTTAGGAAGGCAGATAAGTAATAATATAGTTTAGCTTATGCTTTACTTATTTATTTATTGAGAACACTTAGTCAATGCTAAATTTCAATCTCCTTTGGATGTGGAAATAAGGACACAAGCAAGTATACAGATAATTAGAATATGATGTTATTATACTGGGAGAAAGGTAAGGGTCACAGAAAGCTGTACTTCGAATGTGATGCTTCTATGAGTTTTTAGGATTAATTAATTGTAGACATTAAACAAAGACTGTAATCCTAGTTTTTCAAAAGGCTGAGACTGGTAACATTACAGGCAAGCCCAAGCAAAAGTTCACAACCCATCTCAATCAATAAAACGTTGGCATAGTGGTATATATCTGTCATTTTAGTTATATAGAATTATTAGATAGGAGGCTCAAAGTCCAGGAACTTCTGGTTTAAGGAAGACCCTATTAAAAATAATCATGTGAAAAGGGCTGTAGGTAAGGCTTGGATAGTAGGGTGCCTATCTGGCAAGTGAAAGCCCTGAGTTCAACCATTAATACTGCCAAAAATATATTTTTAATAAAGTACTGTAGACCAGGAAGATCAATTTCTAAAAGCTCTAAGCTCTAGATGCAAGGACACATTAGTAGCTTCTCTGTGTCTACAAAGCATGAAGCTAAGCACATGAGTACTGAAGTATTTAGCCGCTGTCAAAGTAGTTTAAGTAGAGGATTCAGACGACCAGAGTTTCATTTTAGAAACAGCCCTGGTTCTGGAGTGAAGAATTGAGTGGAAAGGGCTAAAGATATAGAAAACACAGTAAGGATCCACTGTAATACTGGGACAGAAATAGGAAGAGAATTGGTACTAGGTCATTGTTAGTGATGATGGGGAGAAGAGAATTAATGCTAAGGAAATAACATTGAAAGAATGAATGAATATTAACAGTAAGAGTGGTACCACATTTGTGACTTGGGGTTCATGATTAGTGATAGGATAAGAATTCTTTTGGTGATGGGGAACTAGGGATGGGCATTCATTCTCTGGAATGTGTTGACTTTGGTAATTCTGTGGGACTTTCAGGTGAGGATGTGTACTGTAATCAGCCCACTTGGGTAAGAAGTGCTGTGAAGGCAGGAATCTTACCAGCGTGTGTGTGTGTGTATGTGTGTGTGTGTGTGTGTGTGTGTGTACACCGCCCCCATGCCAGTCTTGGGCCTTGAACTCAGGGTCACTGTCCCTGAGCTTTTTTGCTCAGTGATAGTGCTCTACAGTGTTACTTCCAATCTTCTGATGGTTAATGGGAGATTGATTTGGTACCCTGTGTTTTGTATATACATTTATCTGATTTGGGGAAGAGAAGGGGAATCACAAAATGATGAGACAAAGAACAAAGGGTGAACCAATGCATCAGCAATACTCACAAGGCACTGTGTTACTTATGTCACTGTAACTAACCCTTACAATAAAGTAAAATAAAATAAAATATTTTACAGACTTTCCTGCCCAGGCTGGCTTTGAACTGCAATTCTCAGATCTCAGCCTCCTGAGCCACTAGCACCCAGCCAGCTTACCTTTTAATTGTGTCTCTTGTGCCAGACACATAGTGGCTATCCAATATGTTTTGGTAAATGGATTATTTTATGAATCTGGGGAGAAAATCAAACATTGGACCAGAAACCCATGGTTCATACTTGTAATCCTAGCTGCTCAGGGGGCTGAGATCTTAAAATCAGTTCAAACCAGTTTAGGCAGAAATGTCTGTGAGACTGTATCTCTAACCAGCAAAAGCCTGGACTGGTATGGCACAAGGGCTAAAGTACCAGTGATAAGCAAAAAAGTCGCTTTGTCCTCAGTTGTATACAGAGAGGGAGAGAGAGAGAGAGGAGAGACATGCACACACGTGGGAGCTGTTAGGAATCCATATAGACTTGGAAATTTGGGGAGAGAGGGAAAAATTGTTAGCCAGGTGCTGAAATCTTCTGTGAGTGTTTGAGATCTTATTCATATTCAGAGATTATTAAAAGGAGATTATTAAATAATGAGGAAGGAGAGTCAGTATCTTGGTCAAATGATATGTCTCTCAAATAGGTGGAGTTTTTCAGGGGGTTGGAAAGTAAGGACTTAGACATGGCATTGGGAGCAGAGAGCATCTTCACTCTGCCATGTGAGGACATAAGCTATTTGGTCCGTAGGTGTCCATGGAGGAGAGGTATTACTCAGGGGCAAAGAGTTTCAGGCAAGGCTGTTAGGTGGAGGCAATACTTCAAGCAGAGGTTGAAGACGAGGAGCCGTCTGCTAATTATGACAATCCCAGTTTTCAGAGAGAGGCTGAAGTGATTCTTTCTAAAAGACTGATATAAGACTGATATAATATTTATGTGTTGGGTCTTCGTCAAGATGGGTCGGAGGAGAGGTAAGTGCGAAGTGCGGCCGCTGGCCCATTCCCCAGCCTCCCTTAGCCCAGGAGACAATCAGAGGCAGCAGGGAGTCAAGTCAAGCAGGAACTCATTTATTAACAGGAAGCATCCCCTTTTTAAAGCAAAAGACTGCGTGGGAGGGGAGGAAATGGAACCAACCAATCACTGAAAGGCCACACCTTATCATGCACCTAAGCTTCCATGAGTTGTTTACACACTGAACCTAAACAAATCCGGCTCTGCCCACTCAACTTCCTCTCAGGGCCATCTTTGCTACCTGTGTTCCCCACAGATTTCCCCACATTTATGCCTTGATTTGTACAAGGGATTAAGAAGAATATGGATCACATCAATGGCAAAGAAGAACAGGAAGTGTATGGCAGAGGTTGGTCTGAGGATAGGTATGTTGGGAGGATAAGTTCTAAGAGTTAAATAGATGAAAACAAAGATAAAAAAAAATGGTAGATCTTTTTGTTTCCACGAACACTGTGGGAGCATGGACCAGAATGGTGGCTAGAGGGCTAGGCCCAGGGTGATCTGGGAGAGTTGTACTGCTAGCACCCAAGAGTCAGCACCGTGCATGTGTTGCCTAGAAATGTGACATGAGATGGCGTGGTATGGGTTATTTTATAAAAGTAGAGTATGCAGATATTAAAAGTATGAAATGTTGGCGTTATCTCTAGTGAGATGGATATAGGCCAGATTATATTGAATTTGTTTCTCTGTCTGAGGGTCACTAGCTTTGTAGAGAAGAGATATGATTAGACTTACATTACTAAGCAATTTCTCCAGCTGCTGTCAGTAGAAAGGATGGTTAGAGGCAAGAGGCTATAGGAGACTGATTAGAAGTGATTGTGGGAGTCCAGATGAGTGACAACAGCAACTTGGATTAAAGAGTGGTAATGGAAGTAGAGAGAAGTGGACAGATGGAAGGAGACATGTATATGCATGAAGTAGAGTCGTATAATCCAAGGAACATCTAACCAGCAGGCAAGAGGAGAGCCAGCCAGCGAGCAGTGTGGGAAGCGGTTAAGAAAGTATTTCCAATACTGCTGAATGATTCAGACATGAAGGACTAAGAAGCCAATATTTATCACCTGAATTTACCAATTATTCTACTAGGAATTTTGCACATGGGATCTTATGGGGGGGGTCACCCTATGAAGCATATATTATTTCTATGCCTTTGTGTCAAAACAGAGGCTCAGGCTGGATGCTGGTGGCTCATGCATGTAATCCTAGCTATTTAAGAGGCCGAGGTAAGAGTATTGTAGATTGAAACCATCCTAGGCAAAAATAGTCTACGAGACTTTGACTCCAATTAAGCACTAAAATGCTGGGCTGGAGGCTTGGCTCAATTGGTAGAGTACCAGTCATGAAAAAGCAAGCTGAGCAAGAGTGTACAGTTCTGAGTTCAAGCCTCAGTACCAACACACACATACGCACACACACAGACATACACACATACACACACAACCCTGAGGCTTACAAAGATATGCTGTGTGAGAATTTCACTCCGGATTTGAATCTGAGTCTATTTAAGTCCAAATTTCAGTACATGTAGTGTTAGCTCAATTTTATAAAGTACTACCTGTGGCTCCCCATAAGTTTAATCACAGCTTTTCACAGAGCATTTCACAGACTTTCCTGGGAATATACAAGGATTATATGATTAATAGGGAACATAAAAATATGCACACTGTCTTAGTGTTGAGGATCAACAGTAGTAGTTGCTATTATGTTGCTACTCTGATGAGATGATAAAGTGGTTGTTGTTCATGATGATATAAAAAATGGTAAAGAAGCCGGGCGCTGGTGGCTCACGCCTGTAATCCTAGCTACTCAGGAGGCTGAGGTCTGAGGATCGCGGTTCAAAGCCAACCCGGGCAGGAAAGACCGTGAGACTCCTATCTCCAATAAACCACCAGAAAACCGGAAGTGGCGCTGTAGGCAGGTGGTAGAGCGCTTGCCTTGAGCTGAAGAGCTGAGGGACAGTGCCCAGGCCCATAGTTCAAGCCCCACAACCGACAAAAAAAAAAGATGGTAAAGAGATGACATTGATCAAGATGTGTTGTAGTTCTGTATTGACTTGTTGAAGGGTCACTCCTTTGTACAATTACTTAGAAACAAATATCTTTTTAGCAGTTTCTGGTTCTCTGTCCCTATTTTTATTGCCATGTGAGTGGAAGTTTTATGCAGCATTGTTTCTTTAATGTAGATTGCATTTTGTCCTAGAGTTATACATAGCTTACTTAATTCTTCTTGCCTTCACTGGATAATTTGTTTCAGTCTGAACTTGTGTTGTCTTTACTAATGACCTGTCTTGATTGATGTAATTTTGTCCCCTAGGTATTGGATCAGGAGTCAGTTTTCAGCCAAGTAACCAACATAAATTCAACATCCTGATACTTTACTCCACCACAAGGTAAGGCTAGGTTCTTAGCCTGGCTGAAGCATTTAAGACTGCAACACTCTAGTGGCAGGGAATCTGTTTAAGGTCTTTTAAAAATGATCTATATTTCCATTTTTCATATAGAAAGGAAAGAGACAGAGCAAGGGAAGAACATACAAGTGCAGTGAACAAGATGTTCAGCCTACAGAGGGAAGGCAATGACCAACAAGGAAGCCGGTACAGTGTAATCCCACAAATTCAGAAGGTGTGTGAAGTTGTCGATGGATTCATTTATGTTGCAAATGCTGAAGCACAAACAAGTAAGCATTCTCTTATTTTTCTTTTAAAAAAGTGACATAACTCTTTGCAAAACAAACTGTTTGATTTTACTGTAGCATTTTAACAACTTGACAGTTAACTTTATCACTATAATTTTCTGCCTGTTATTGTAAACAGTGAATTCTCAAACCTTGATATTCATTGTGATCACATGAGAGCTTATTAAATATACAGCTCCTTGATTTCTAGGTGGGTAGTTTTTGATGTGTTGATTTGAGCTGTATCCAAGAATCCGTTTTTTTTTCTTTTTTTTTGTAATAAATACCCAGAGAATCCTAACATATACTAAAATTTGGTTACAATAGCCATCTGCTGTTTTATATTGTATGCTTCTGTATGTTTTCTGTGCTTCTGACTAGATTCAAATAATTCATATGAGAAGTATGGGGATAATGTATAGACTGTTAATTAATTCAGTAAGTTGGTAGTATTTTTCCATATGTTCTAAGTGGCTGCCATGGACAATGCTATGTAGGTGTGAAGTCAAAATAAACATTGGACCATAAGCCAATACTACAAGTTTTTCCTCAAACTGTTATGCAGTATATTGGTTTGAATTTCCATTGCATTTATTTTTTCCTATAATCAGTTAGGCATGAATGCAACTATACTTTGAAAACCTGGACGACTTAACCCATAAGAAAATTTCAAATTATTCTCACATATTACCGCCTATCTATAAAAGCAATAGTTAGAAGTGAAACAAAATATGAGTGTTAGAGTATATTAGACTTTGCCAGAAAACCATGCAGACATCCAGGTACAAAGAACAAAGAAAAGGCTTATTGCTAGTAAAGAGACTGGCAAGCCCCCTTCCTACAAGAGAGGAGTGGGAAGAAGCGCCAGCTATTATCTGAGGTGACCTATATAAACTACTGAGGCTAGGAGGGACTAGAAGGGGCTAGGAGGTGGAGACTCTGGTGAGGACCAGGGGCTTCATCATGGCAGACTGGGATTTATGGCTGCTGCCCAAGTGGTAGATAAGGGGTTCTGCAGCTGCCCAGACCTGAAGGTCACTCTAAGGAGGCTCTTGGTGCCCCTGAGGAGTGCCGTCTCAAGGCAAAGGCAGGGAGGGGGGCGTTGGAGGCTGATTATATACTGCCTTTACTAAATGGGCCTGGGGTTGCCTAGGAAGGGAACATGCGAAGCTGTGGATAGGGGAAGGAGTATGCTAAGCTATGGGAAGGGAGCTCATTGGGCTAAATGAGTTCGTCAACAAATCATTGTGGAGTTTCCAATGGTTTCTGAGGTTAGGCAGGGGTTGTATTTGGCCCTGGAGATATAATTGAGAGCTAAAGCAACTTATAACTTATATCTAGTCTTTTCCTGATAGGCTCCTATCAAATAAGTAGAAGTATAGAGATATAGAAAAATATATAAAAAATATATGAGAGCCTGTGTTTAATCCTCAGCACTGCAAAAAAAGAGAGAAAGAAGAATAGAAAAATAAATGTTAAAACATATAAAATACAGGGAGAATCTGCAACTACTCAGCAGATTTTTTCCCCACTGATAGAAAATCAGATTGAGTGCCAGGCATGAAGCTCGTGCACCTAAAACATTGACTAACTGGTCCCCTAAGAAAAAGTTTGCTAATAGTGAGTTCAATTACTTCTTTTTCCTGAGTTCTTAGATTATCTGTTCCTTACTTTACTTTCTCTTTTACTTTAATTGGGTTCACAGATTTCCCCCACTTTCCTGATAGACTCATTGAAAGAGCTGCTTTTCCATTATAACATTTTTAATAACCAGGATTGTCAATTTGCTTTTTAGGGTGGTACTGCAATTTTTAAACTCAAGACCTTGTGCTTGCTAGGCAACTCCCTGAACAAGGCTCTTAGCCCTTTTTGCTTTTTCATGGAGGGTCTTGTGGTTTTTGCTTGTGTGTGTGACAGTCCTGGGGTTTGAACTTAGGTCCCAGGTACAGTCCTCAAGCTTTTTTGCTCCAGACTAACACTCTACCATTTGAGCCACAGTGCCATTTCTGGTTTTTTGGTGGTTAATTGAGAAGACTCTCACAGACTTTCCTGCCACTTTGACCTATGATCCTCAAGTCTAAACCTAAGTCCTACATCTCAAACTGCTGAATAGCTGATTTCCAGGCATGAGCCTCATGCCAGGCACTCAATTTGATTTTATAGCGGAACAATAAATAAATGAATACTAGCAATAAAGGCAGTTGGTTAAGTTTGTATCCTGGTGAATTGCTGTCTCTTGTTTTTGATTATTTAGTTTTATAATTTTATTATTTTTAAAACCTTTACAAAAATGCAAATTCAGTATTTTGATGTACTTTCCTTAGGGCATGAATGGGAAGATGAATTTTCTCGTATCATGGCAATGACAGATCCAGCTTTCGGGTCTTCAGAGAGACCAATGCTAGTTTTATCTTGTATTTCACAATCAGATGTGAAAAGAGTGCCCTGTTTTTATTTGGCCCATGAGCTGCATCTTAATCTTCTGAACCACCCATGGATGGTAAGTCTAGTTGCTTTGGAAACAGCATTCTTTTACTGTGATTTTTATTTGATATTTATATTGGTTGTCTTTCTGTTGCTGTATACACTTCTTAGGTAATAGGTTAAAAAGAAGGTTTATGTTTTTTTTTGTTTTATATTGTTAAGGAGGTGTACAGAGGGATTACAGTTATATAAATAAGGTAATAAGTACACTTCTAGTCAAACTTGTTACCCCTTCCCTCATTTAAAGAAGAAGAAGGTTTATGTTGACTCATAATTTTGATTGGTTGGTCCTCTGGCAGAGGAAGCTGCTTCATCTCACAGCCAAGAAACAGAAGAGGGGAGAAAGAAAATGCCCTTCTAGAATTCCAATATCTTCTGTAAAGGCACAATGACTTGAAACCTTCCCACTAGTTTTCACCTCTTAAAGGTTCTACCACTTTATAGGAGCATGATGGGCTGAGACAGGCTTTTCAATAACAGCAAAGCCATCTAGCATTACACTGCTTTTTATTGGGGGACTTTTTAACAGTGATTCAATTTCATTGTTCATTATTGTTCTGTTTGATTTGTTTATGTCTTTGTAGTTCAGTTTTGATAGATTTTGTGTCCAGAAATTTATCCATTTCTTCAAGGGTTTTCAATTTGTTAACATAAAGTTGCCTGTAGTAGCCTAATGATCTGCTTTATTCCTGTAATGTCTGTCATAATGTTTCCTTTTCTACTTCTTGTTCTTTTTATTTAGGTCTTTTCTCTTTCTTCTTAGCCTATCTAAAGTTTGTAGACTTTGTTTATATCTCAGAAAATCAGCTGATTATTTCTTTCCTTTTATTAATTTTTGGGTGTCTTTACTCTTCCTTTTCTTCCAGAGTCCTTGAAGCACATCAGGAGGATGATTATTTGAAATCAGTCAGTCTTCCCTCCCCCTTCCCTCCCTCCTTCTCTCCTTCCTCTCTCTTCCTGCTTCTTTCCTCCCTTTTTCCCTGTCTCCCTCCCTTCATCTATCCATCCTTTCCTTTTTCCTTCCCTCCTTTCCTCCTTCCTTTTCTTGCATGTAGAAAAATGTCTCTCCAAATCATATGAGTTTGAACTTAGGGTTTTATGGACAGTATTCATTCTTATTTGTTCATAGGTCCAGGATATAGAGGCCGAAACTCTTACTGGTTTTTTGACTGGCATTGAATGGATTCTTGAAGAAGTAGAATCTAAGCATCCAAGATGATCTTCATTTTGGACTGTGGAAAGTGAAACCATTTGAAATTTGTTACCAAAGTCATGATGTGTATGTTTTCTCAATCAGATTTTATCCTGCCTTTTTGTAGGTGGGCTTTTTATTGGACAGTTATAGCTGCTATGGTTTTGATATTATTTTTAATTTTACCTTAAATCAATTACAGGAAAAAAGTTTTGAACCTCTCCCGCCCCTGCCCCCAGCTCCCAAATGAACCTTTAATTTTTTGATAATTTTATATTTTCTGTCTTTCTAAAAATATTAAATCATAGAAAAAATGTTTGTGTTTCTTTTATTCCTCATCTTTCCATTATTATTATTTTTTTGCAGATTGGCCTAAGTTCGATAAATTATCCTTGCCCTTTTCAAGGGTTCATCACTGGCTATCAGAAAAGAAATTTTGTGTCTGTTTTTAATAGAAACATTGTTTAAAGAACAGAGATTTTACTAGAATTGTATTTATGTTTATAGTCATATAATCTCTCTTCTGAAATAGTAGAAAGCAACATAATATTACATTTATGTCCAGTTTATTGAAAAATAGCTTTTCCTAGTTGATATTATTTCAAGTTAGTTTGAACACTTTTTTTTAATTTTTAATTTTTTTTTATTTGTGAACTTACTGTACAGAGGGGTTACAATTACATGGGCTGGATAATGCGTACATTTCTTACCAAGCATTGCAGTCTCCTCCTTTTGTTTGCTTAAGTTTGTTTAAGTTTGAACACTTATAGAATACTGAAGCTAATTTTTCTTCCATACCCACAGAAAAAATGTTCCAGAGATGTACATATGAGATATTACCATCCTTTAAAGATTGGTCATATTTTTTTCCATTTTGGTCCTAGGGTCTTGCTGGAACTGGGGAATTTTAAGCTTATCATAAAAGAGCATAAATACCTATACATATTTTATAAAAGCTCTATCTTTAAATGTGCTTCTGTTTTGGAGAAATATATGATTATTAGATGAATTATACTTTCTTGCAGTGTTTTCTAGGAAAGAGTTTTGCTTAATGGAACCATTGGGTTAAGCAGTGTGTGAAGAAGGTCTGAGAGCATGCCGCTCCACATTTCTACATTTATAAAATGGCCACTTAGAGACTTGTGGCTTTATTAAGGTGAAAAGCCTTTTCCAATAATAGTAATGAATCTAAAATTCTGTGGCATAACAAATTAACTTACTGAGCATGTCACTGAGAGCAGGCAGGGCCTTTTGGTTCACTTTGTGTTGTGTAGAACTTTTTTTTTTTGTCATGGGGCTTGAACTCAGAGCCTAGGCTCTGTCCCTGAGCTCTTCTGGTTTTCTGGTGGTTTTAATTGGAGGTAAGAGTCTCATGGACTTTCCTACCCAGGCTGGCTTTGGGCTTTCCTACCCAGTCTCCTGAGTAACTAGGATTGAAGACTTGAGCCATGGGTGCTCAGCAGTAGTTATAGCTACTGTTCTATTTTATTCAGACTGTACCTGGCCTTGACTTACTCCGTTTTGTAAAGCAATAGTTTTCATGTAACTTAACTCCATTCTGAGTATAAGAACCAAAATGGAATGACTCTGTGCTTTAGTTGTACATATAACCAACTATCACCTACCATGAGTACATTTTGCACCAAAAAACAATTGCACTGGCAGATATAGCAAATGGTAGAAGAATCTAAGACACATGAACTTGTCGGTCATACCAGATGAATCTCCTTCCCCTGCAAATACAAAAGGAAGGGCACCCCAAAACTGAGACATGCTAGCTTAACTGATGCTGTCACCCGCTCAACAAGCCTCGGGCAGGAAAATTGCCCTGGGGATGGACTTCCGCCTCTCCTGCCTGTGACACACTGTTCACTGGCAATGGCTTGCCACCCAGACCTGTATGTGACAACTCTACCTTTAACAGCTCTGTGCCTACATAGGACTTAGCTGGTCCCCTACAGAGCCTCTCCCCCAGAGATTTTTTCCTACCTTTGTATCAGCTTTCTGCCCACTACAGCACAATCTTGGACATCTGCAGTCTCCTTACCTCTTCCTTAGTATTACCTGTCTATTATTAGTGGGTAAGCTGTAATGTGTCATCTGAAAGTTTAATAATTTAAGATTGGAAGAAAAGAAACCATGTTTGGCTAAAGTTCTCAAGTGGAATCAATACTTGAAAAGTTAACACCAACAAAATTGATTTTTTAATTTCTTATTAAAAAATTCTGACAGACACAAACATCTGTTTCTGACATGACTCATTTACAACACCAATGAAAATCACAATATTTTCACATAAGGTTTTTTTTTGTCAGTCATGGGGCTTGAACTCTAGACCTCAGCACTGCCCCTTAGCTCTTCAGCTCAAGGTGAGCACTCTACCACTTGAGCCACAGCTCTACTTCTGGTTTTCTGAGTAGTTTATTGGAGATAAGAGTCTCATGGACTTCCCTGCCTGGTCTGGCTTTGAACCATGATCCTCAGATCTTAGCCTCCTGAAGAGCTAGGATTATAGGCATGAGCCATCAGCACCCAGATAAGCTATCTTTTTAAAAAAGTAAAAGCACTCCAATTCTATAATAAATTATCTCTGATTGATTAGAAAGAATAAATGTAAGATATTTTAGTACCACGCCCTAGGTCATTCAGAAGAATTAAACTAATATATCCCTTGTTTGTTATAACACACTTCAGTATTTATAATCCAATTTTTTTCTACAGTGTTTTCTCATTTTTAGATTAATTTTCCAGAGTATCACATGTTTTTTTTCTTATAACTATGGAATTTGAGTCTCTGTTTCTGTCTCTGTCTTTCTGTTTTCATCTCTGTCTGTCTCTGTCTCTGTTTCTCTTTCCAGTGCCAGTCCTGGGACTTGAATTTAGGGCTTGGCACTGTCCCTGAGCTTTTTTGCTCAAGGTTAGCACTCTACTACTTGAGCCATATGTCTACTTCTGATGCTTTTTATTGTTTAGTTGGGGACTTTTCTGTCCAGACTGGCTTTGAGCCTCAGTCCTCAGATCTCAGTCTCCTGAGCAGCTACGATTCCAGGTGTGAGCCACCTGTGCCTGGCCTGAGTCTCTTTTTCAGTTCATTTTAAATAGTCTTTTTACAGGTCAGTTGCCCTGAGATGACTTATTGCTTGGGCTCTCCACCCTCTTTGATTTACTGTGTTATTCTTGTTGCCATTGACAAGGTCCAACTCATTTTCCTTTTCTAGTCATCATTATAGGAGATAGTGTGGATTTGATCAATACTAATTATAAGTCCAGCGTAAAATTTACCAAACATTAACTAACCTTTACAGTCACTGCCGGGCAATGTGCACAACAGTGTGCATAGTAAGCATTCAATGTTAAGAAAACCTTGCAAAGTCATTTTTTTCTTTTTGCTGTTGTTGCTAGTAGCACAGCACCACCCACTTGACAAGTTATAAAGGAAAGAGGCTCACAGTTCTGGTGCAAGGTCTAAGGGCAGCATCTGGGGAAGCCTCTCTTGCTGCAGTCTCAGAGCTGTGCAGTATATGATATGTCATGAGACACATAGCCAAATTAGATTTTAAAAAACTCTAAAAATTTTCACGTTGTTATTATAAAGGTGATGTATAGAGGGATTCCAATGACATGAATCAGGCAATAACTACGTTTCCTTTCATACAGTATCTTCCCTTCCCTCACTTTCCAGATCCCTCCCTCCTATCTCATTTTCATGACAGAGTCCAATGAGTTCTAGTGCTGCACTTTGTTACTCCTTGTCCTTTGAGTTTTGTGCCTTCTCCCCACCTTCCCAAAGATAGACATACAAATAAACCATATAGAAAGAAAAGAAAGCAGAACCATTATCAACAACAACACAAAGATCTCTTGTTTCCATATCTGGGAGTTCATTTCAATATATATATAATTTTATATAACTATAAAAATTCATATTCCTACCCATAAATTGTATAGTTCATTTTCAACAGTGTCTAATGAGTGCTGTTGTAGCATTTGTTCACCCTTTATCCTTCATTTCTGTGCTCCCCCTGACCCTCCCAAAGAGAGACAAATAAGACCAAAACAAAACAAAACAAAGACAAATCCTCTTGTCTTATTGGAGTTCATTTTGATAATTATTATTGTATATGATCAGATGCACATAGGCATTGCACCTTTGTGATCCTCTCCTGAGTATCCTCCTTTGGTTTCATTGTGTATGAATGCCTAGAGTCTTGTAGACTTGATCAGGTCTCAGTATAGTTTAGTCCTATCTTCTGCATATGAGAGAAAACATGTCATTTGTCTCTTTGAGCCTGGCTTACCTCACTTAATGCATTCCATCAATTTCCCTGCCAATGACATAATATTATTCTTTCTCATGGCTGTGTAAAATTCCATTGTGTATAGGAAAACATTAGATGCATTAGTCAACTTTGTGTTGCAGTAAGAAAATAACGGAGACAATTAATTTATAAAGAGAATAGGTTTGTTTGGACTCTTGTTTGCCCTTTTGAGGGAGCTGAATGACCTTAAGCCTCCAATATGTGCAGTATCTTATGGCAAGAATATGTGGTAGAACAAAGCTCATCATAAACAAGGAAGCAGAGAGAGAAAATGCCAGATAGGTCAGGCTATATAATCCCTGTGACCTAAGGACCTCTGCAAAGTTCCCATCTCTCCACAGTCCACAGCACCTCTAATGCTGCCTCCCTGAAGACTAGGCCGTTAGACATTATTATGTTCTACTGAGCCTTTAATCTATGAAGAGCTTTTAATCAAACATAAAGACTCTAATCAAATATAAATACTCTACACACATTAATTGCTGTGCATACTTTTATTAATCATAATTATACATTGTGAAAAATGCTTCTATTGTTACATTTTTCCTTTGTGACTATTGTTTCATTTATACTTTATGATATGATGACTTTTTACCCTCTCTCTGTGTGTGATGGAGTTTATGTTGGCCTTTATATTCTGACTTATGTATTAAGTACTAAGCAAATTTGCATAACATAATGAGCTGACCCTTGCTGAATTGTCAACAAATTAAATCTCATATTTGTTAATATTCATAGTTACTTATCTTTTCAACATGTCTCATAAATAGCTTAGTTAGTATAATCTCTTAATAAGAATCTTTATCATTTTTTGATTTGGGGCAAGTTTTTCTCTTCTTTATGCCTAGTTTCCTGAAATGCAAAATCAAGGTAAATAATTATAATACTTAACTTATCAGATTCTTAACAGCTTAAATAAATATCTTAATGTATTTAGGATAATGACTACTTTTAAAAAAGTATTCTAAATAAGTTTGTTCAATA